TCCAATCAGCCAATCTATACCTCTTCAATGGGGAATTCATGCCATTAACATTTATTGAGATAATTGATAAGTGTGGTAGCGTTCTATTCATGTTCTTTTGTGAAAATCCATTGCTTAGTTTTATCTTTTGCATCATCATGGAAGCTGGGTTCTGTCCTTTAATTTCTGGGTGCTTACTTTGCTGTTGATCCATTGTGATGGTCAGTGTGTAGAACAGGTTGACGTACTTGCTGTAGAGCTGTCTTGTGGCAAATTTCCTAAATGTTTGCATATCAGTAAATTTTTGATTTCTCCATCAATTTTAAAGCTTAGCATAGCAGGATATATAATTCTGGGCTAGAAATTGTTTTGTGTAAGTAGATTAAAGGTAGATGACCATTGTCTTCTGGCTTGAAAAGTTTCATTAGAGAAGCCTGAAGTTACCCAGATGGATTTGTCCCTGTCAGTCAGTTGGTGCTTATTCCTGGCAGCTTGAAGAATTTTTTCTTTTGTCTTGGCTTTGGACAGGTTCATCACAATATGTCTTGGAGAAGCTCTATTAGAGTTGAGGCAACCTGAGGTCTGATATCCCTCTAAAAGGAGTGTGTCAGAATCTTTGGTGATATTTGGGAAATTTTTATAATATTCTGTAGTATGGTTCCCATTCCTCTGGGGCGTTCTTCCCCTTCAGGGATACCTATAACTTGTATGTTTGAATGCTTCATAAAGTCCCATAATTCTGTCAGTGAATGTTCTGCTTTCTCTCTTTTCTTTTCTGCCTCTTTAACTATCTATCTCAAGAGCTTTGTCCTCTACCTCTGAGATTCTTTCTTCTGCATGGTCCAATCTGTTGTTGGTACTTTCTATTGCATTTTTAAGTTCCCTAATGAACTGCTTCAATTCCAATCTGTTGTTGATACTTTCTATTGCATTTTTAAGTTCCTTAATGGACTGCTTCAATTCCTTCAATTCTGCTATATCCTTCCTATATTCTTCATATTGTTCATCTCTTATTTGATTCTGTTTTTGCATTTCCTTTTGGCTATTTTCCACTTTCTCAGCAATTTCCTTCATTGTTTTCATCATCTGTATTTTAAATAACCCTTCTGTCATTTCTAACATCTCTTTGTAGGTGGAATCTTCTGCAGTAGCTACCTCATAGTCCCTTGGGAAGGTTGCTCTGGACTGCTTTTTCATGTTGCCAGAATTTTTCTGCTTATTCTTCCTCATGAGTATTTTCTTTATCTGTTTCCTTGCCTTAATTTTCCTTTCATTTCCTCTTGCTCTTTAAGTTACTGTGCCTCTGACCTAAGGTTTCAATGAGTCCTTTGGGTACAGGATCAAAAGGATAAGAAGATTGAAGAGCAAGAAGGAAAAGAAGATTTTAAAAATAGCAGAAAGAGAAAGAAGAGGGGGTGAGTAAAAGGTAATATTGACAAAAAGAAGAGAGGCACAGAAAGAGGGAGACACAACTAATAAATGTGTACAGTAGGGTACTTTGATCCAACCTTAAAAACTCCCAACCTCTGGGGTGCTGGGTTGGGTGGTTTCCTAGCAGTCAACAGCTCTTTGCCAGCCTGATCAGACACAGTACCTCACCTCCACCAAATAGAAAGGAAAGACAAAAATACTATAAATCAAACCAAAACAAATAAACAGAAAATCTTACGGAATAAAATTGGCAGAAAAAAACAAATAATAGGGGCAGAAACACTAGCAAAAATGAAGTTCTTATTATTAAAGAAGGCAACAATGAAAAATTTTGTTTGAACTAGAAAAATGAAGAAAAAAAATCTAGAGGGCAAATGTTGAAATAAAAAAAATTTAGTATATGTATCTTGCTGAATATTGTCTGGGCAACAGGTGATATTCTGCAGTATGAGATGTTAATCACAATGCTGATACAGCTGTATGAGATGTTGACTGGAGGCCTCTGCTGATTTCTCAAACCCCACAGGGTTGAGCACCTAAATCTCTCCTCAGTCCACTTAAAAGACACTTTAAACTGTTACCCTTGGCTAAGCAGAAGCTTTCCCAGGAAAGCACTTGTCACTGGGCTCTCTCCTCAAGTGGCTGCCCGCTTGTCCAGTGTGCCAGATAAGACCAGTCTCACTCTATACCCACAAGAGCGAAGGCTACAAGGCAGCCCTGCTCCTGGCAATACTGAAAGCTCCCATCTTCCCCAGCATCTCAGTCCTGGCCTTTGGTGCTGCTTAGTCACTAAATCACTCACCCAAGGTCTCCCAGCCAATCCTCTCTCTGACCCTAAGGGTGGAACCTGCAGGGATAGTTCTTCCACAATGTGTGCGGGCGACAGCCCTAGACAGAGCTTAAAGTCATCAGTGCTCTTGCCCAAGTTCTCCCAAGGTAGTTCAACAGAGTGCCCAAGTCCAAAAAAGCAAAACAGCCCACAGGGAAGGTGTCCCGTTTGTAGTCTCTCTGCTGTTGTATTTACAGCTGCAGTAGCCAGGGTCTCAGACCAAATGAATGCAATCACTTGCCACTTCTCCACTGGAGAAGTCCTCCTCCTGGAGTCCAGAAGTCTCTCGCTATCTCCATGCATCCCCAAAGGGATGTTTCTGGGCAGAGCCCCTAAGCCAGAGAGGCCTGGACTCTTCTCTCCCTAAGCTCACTGCACCTAGTTGCAAAGAAGCTCTTACTCAGCCACTATCTTGTTTCCCTTCCTGTAATTTTCAACCAAATATTAATTCTGTAAAGATCCCTTCGTGCTGTAATGTTTAGCTGTAGCATTGTCTGTTTTTAACCAGCAGTAGCCTGTGTTTATCGTTAAGCTCCCCTTTATATGCCCTTAGGATAAAAATGTCTGCCACCAAATGACAATTTTCAAGTATTTTGTTCAAGGAGGAAAATGACATATTTGACATACTCATATTGACAAAAACTGTAACGTTTACTGATTAGATCTTTATTCCTCAGTGTAGTACACTCTGATATTCAGCCTTGCCCTGAATTAACCAAATCAAAACCAAATTGAAAGCAGATTTCTCTTTTTTAATTCCAATTTCTTACAGTCATTATCCATGATGAGTTAGAAAGCCAGCAACTAGGAATCCATTCCCAAGCAATAAGGAGTGTTTGCAAATCCATAAAAAAAAAAATCTTAAGGCCTCTATGTTAATGAAGTAACACTGTGGCCCCTTTCAGCCTCCATGTGAAGTACAGTCCTTCCCAGTGGCGGGAATGGAGTATTTTTAGCCTCCCAGCGACCCCTAGTGTTCAACTGTGCCATCTGCAAGGCCTCTGCACTAGCAATCAACTCTGGCCTCTTGGGCTACAGAACTTCAAATTAAGAGACTACAAGGGAAACTAAAGCCAGAAAGGGGGATGGAGGGGCAAGGAAAGATGGAGATATTTCGCAAGTTGTCTGAGATGTTTCTGAGTCAGTGACATGAATCTAGAGGCCATGTTCTGTAGTGAAAAGAACAAAGGGCTTGATGTCACAGGGACCACAAGGACCAGGATTTACTTGCTTGTTCCAATAGTTCCTGCCTAGATGACCTCAGGCAAGGGTTTTGCACTGTGATCATGTTTCCTCAAGCTTAAAATGTGGATTTAATTTTTATTTCAGAGTTGTTGGAGAAACAAAATAAATAATACATGTGAAAGCTACTGTTATAGTACCTGGTATAATCAGTGATCATCAAATGATGGGTGAATCTGAAATTTGCTTGAGTAAATTGATAAAGAAAAACTTCACCATCCAAAAGATACTAGGTTAACAAAGTAACGATACGACTGTTTATTAATAATTCCTTTGTTTTACATATACATAAACCCTTAAAATCATCAAAAGCTAGGCTGCCAAGGAAAATATGCTATTTAATAATCTTGGAGTTCCTTTAATCTCAGGACAATAGAAGGGCTTCACACTGAAGATGTAGCAGGCATTATCCTATTATTTTCACTGAGCAGAATGAAGACCAGTTAGCAGAAGTTATACAAAGTTACATAAAGATTTTGGTTCAACATTTAAAAGGACTTTCTGGCAATTGGAGCCAGGGCTGCTATGCTACACAACTCCATGGGACACAATTAACCCAAACAGCAAAGTCATAGCCCCTAGAGTGTGTAGGGCAGAAGTGTACTGCAATCCCAGATCCCTGGCTCTTTCCCACATGTCATGGGCTAATTTGTGAAGGGTGAAGTTCCCTGTCATGGAATCTGTTCAATCTGAGGAAAATGACAGTAAGTCAAGGATGGTTCCAGGGAGGAGTCTGATTAGGCCTTTTCATTCTTAATTGGTTTATCAAAAACTTATGGAATATCTATTGTACATCAGGGACAGACCTAAGCCCAAGGGAAAAATATGACTGAGATACCATCCCTGTACCTCAAGGAAGATGGCAGCCCTTCTCACTTAGTAATATTGTGCTCCCCAAAGGACTATGGCATCCCAACGTCATACCACCTGTGTCCTTCACTGGCCGCTAGATTGACATGGCTATGCCATCTGTCCATAAGATTGTTATTTTCTTCCTGAAACTACATCATCTGATTCAAATCGCACATTTCTTTGCTCTCAATAAAGTTTTATTTCCATGAAAAAAAATAATGGAGAAAAAAAGAGAAAAGAGGCTCAGCACCTGTAGCTCAAGTGGCTACATACACCACCTGTAGCTCAAGTGGCCACATACACCTGAGCTGGCGGGTTCAAATCCAGCCTGGGCCCACCAAACAACAATGACAACTGCAACCAAAAAGTGGCCAGGCTTTGTGGCAGGTGCCTGTAGTCCCAGCTACTTGGGAGGCTGAGGCAAGAGAATTGCTTAAGCCCAAGAGTTGGAGGTTGCTGTGAGCTATAATGCCATACACTCTACCCAAGGGGTAGTGCTTAAGGGTCTGTCTCAAAAAAAAAGAAAGAAAGAAAATAGAGAAAAAAAAGAAAAGCGAATAAAGTGATTTCAGAGATAAGGATCCTTTAGTCTAAAAAAAAGCCATTCAGAAGGGGGAATAAAGAATTGTTTTACTACTAAATATGTAAAGATGAATAATGGTTTGGGGGAAAGATCCCCAAATGTTATCGTCTAAAAGTAATGAGGTACTCTGGGTAAGCTTGGTAGTCATAAAATACCACAAATAAAGTTGGATTTTGCGTATTGTCTGTGACAGTGTCATACAGATCAGTTGGATTTTGGGAGTTCTTTGAAGGAGGCACAATTAGTGTGTGATTTCCAACTGTGTAAACTCCAGTAAGTACTCGCACATAATACATATACTTTTTCCCATTTGCGTCTGGTCTGGAGTATGCATCATTGGCAGAATAACTGGCATTGACAGCAAAATAGGTTCCTTTTCCATATGCCACAGCTGCGAAAAGAAAAACAAACCATGATGAAGAATTCCAACTTAGGGTATAACTGGACATGTTGCCCCAATATGTCAAATAATGTTAAAATAACATTCGGTTCTCTCCAAAGCCTCTTTTAACATTTTTGGCACGTGCTTTCCATTTTTAATCATCAATTTTTCCACTTGACAAGGTTTGTCGGTTTCCCCTGGGATGAAATATAGTGAATCTTACCCTGAAACATGGTCATCAACTGTGGGGGATCATGGTGAACCCATACCGTCCCTAGCAAGACGATGCCTCCTTCAGAGCAGCCACATCACGCCCTCCCTTACCATTCTTGCTTCCTTACCATTCTTTCCAGCATAGCTGCGGTTAAAGCCATTTCCATTCACTTGTGGCACTGAGGTTGCCTCTGTCCCATGGAAGAGTTGCTTCTCATTTATTGTCTGGCCATTCTTGGCATCCATGACTTTTTTCTTTGCCTGGTAGCTATTCCAGAGATCTGGATTCTGGATCCTCTCAATCTGAAATTAATAAAAACAAAAATTTGGTCAATGCCAAGAGTACTTTCTAAAATACAGCAAATGAAATGATCACTATGTTCACTAAACAGCAAGTTCAATGGCAGATGGCATCTTTCTACATTCAGAATCTTTTTAGATAGAATGTTTCATGAAAGTAGACAATGGTAAGAATGTTGGCTTAATTTTTCACATTTTTTATGCACTGCATGACAGCAAACATCATTTAGGATCTTAAGTACTTGTTATATAAACTCTAACCCAGCCTCTGCAACTCCTGATTGTGACGGCACACTCTAATAACTGCTCCTATTGCTATCTAACTCCCGTCATCATTTGGCTTCTTATTGCCTCAGGCCTTCTAAAACACTGGTTGACCTAGTTATATTCTAAAAGTGGGAGAAGCAATAGTGCCTACACAAGAAGTGAATTAATGAAAATTAATCTCTCGTCCAGTTGGCAGAGTAAAGTGTGAATCCTGATGGGAGGGGATCTGTCTATAAACCAAAATGGCCATGCTTTGATGATACTCCTTGGGCAGTGGTCTCTAGCATTGGGTGTAAACCTTCTGGGTCCTGGATTGCAGATCAGCTTCTAAACTTACCTAATTGCTAAGTAGTGGCACTTTGATAAAGATTTCGTGGGAGAAGGAAGGGGTGGGTAGAGGTGGCAAGGGTCCCTTGTGGAAAGACACAAGTTAAGATTCCAGTTGTTGACCTCTTTTACTATCCCAGAGAACTGGCAGGCCTAATGCCTGCATTCAGCTGGGGTTTTTTCCCCCTAGTTTTGGGTTTTCTATTTTTAAGATACAGTTTCCCTCCAGATCAAAGTCTCAGCATGATATATTTTGTTGATCTGGTTTATGATTTTAAAATTATTTTCCCTTCGTTTTCTGTGCCTATAGATGAGTGTCTAATCTTCAAAATGCTTATGTTCATTTTGTTTCCAGTTATGTTAAATTTTGTTTATTTTACTGATTTTTTTTAAAGCCTTCAAAATTTTTTCTTAGAGTTTGAGATAACTCTGAATTTCTCAGTCTTTGAATTCTGAAATGTAAAAAGATTTTTTCTTACCCTTTTACAATTCAATAACCACTCAAAGAAAAGAATTATTTTAAGTAACTTTTAAACACAGTAATCTGAGTCTATATATCTCATGGGATAAGTTCTAAAGTCAAAAACATTACAAATAAATCTTAGACTTTATTTAGTGGGCTTATTGGCTTACTATTTCTGGCTAGGGCAGATTACTTGCATCAGACCAATCTCTTACTGACAAATACTAGAACGAGCCAGAGGAGAAAAAAGTTTATTTGAAGGCAACAAGGATTTGATCAACTAAGATTCCAGAGAGAAGGGAAATATAGCATGAAACACTAAAGTCAGAAGAAAATGGAATAACTTCTTCAAAGCACTTAAAGAAAAGTAACTATCAATGCAGAATTCTATGCTCAGCAAAAATACTCTCCAAAGAATGAAAATGAAATAAGACATTTTTATACAAAAACTAAGAGCATTTTTCATTACCAGATTTACATTAAAAGAAATGCTAAATCCAGATGGAAAATGAACCCAAATAGAAGCCTAGAAATACAGGAAAGATTAAAGAACTGTGGGAGGAAAGTGCAAATATAAATACTGTATAAATAAAATATTTTATAGTGTTTCAAATATATATAGAATTAAAATACATGCTAAAAGTAACACAATAATTAAGAGGGATAAAGGGGATTAAATTGACCAAAACTCATTGTATCATCTGGGAAATTATAAATAAACTAATTTACATTAGAGTCTAATAAGTCAAGGATATATGGTTATAATCTATAGGGTTAGCAGTGAAAGAATTGTAATAGAATATATGACCAACATTCTATTAAGAGAAAACTGGAATAACAGAAATATTTAATGCAGAGGAATGCAGAAAAAGAGAAAGAACAAAGAATACATGATAAATACATGATATGCGATAAATGGAAAACAAAAATGATGGCTCAGTGGCTAGGGTGCCAGCCACATACACCAGAGCTGGTGGGTTTGAATCCAGCCTGGGCCTGCCAAACAACAATGACAACTACACCCAAAAAATAGCCAGGTGTTGTGGCAGGCACCTGTAGTCCCAGCTACTTGGGAGGCTGAGGCAAGAAAATTGCTTTAGCCCAGGAGTTTGAGGTTGCTGTGAGCTGTGACACCATGGCACTCTACCGAGGGTGACATAGTGAGACTCTGTCAGAAAAAAAAGAAAGAAAAGAAAAGAAAAGAAAAATGAATGCAGTATATTTAAACCCAAATACATCAGTAAATACAGTAAACAGATTATCTAGTTTAAAAATAAATATTGTCAGACAGGATGAAGAAAAACAAAAATTTAAGTATATGCTGCTACCAAGAGACACATCTTAAATCACTTATTAAAAGTATAAAAGAAGAGTATGGAAAAAGATACACTGTAAATACTACTAACCAAAAGAAAGCTGGCATAGCTATTTTATTTATTTTTTTATTGTTGGGGATTCATTTAGAGTACAAGAAACCAGGTTACAGTGATTGCATTTGTTAGGTAAAATCCCTCTTACAATTGTGTCTTGCCCCCAAAAGGTGTGTCACACACCAAGACATAGCTATTTTAATATTGCTAATAACAATTTCAGTATCATAACTTTGACACAATTTTATGTAGACTATAGGATAAAACAAGCTAACAGGTACTGTTATTAACCCAAATTTCTATTATACATACAGAAAATGAGACATAAATATATTAACAAAAAACATTAAATTTTAATTGAAAACATAAATATGGGTTCATGGTTTTCATAGGTTTAGCCAGAAAAGATGCTACAAGCAACAACACCTCAGTAGCAGTGAGCACACTCAGCACATAACTTTTGGTTTCTTACAACAAATCCCCACTAAAATAAATCAAGGATTCTTTGAGAAATGTCGAATTCCAGACACGGAACAAAGAAAGTTGTGACATATGTAGCCACAACTACTATATTTGTAATTACTATATTTGTAATTAAATATAACATACTGAATTTTTAAAAAAGCGGGCAGGAAGAAAATTTACACAAAAATTGCTAGACAATATTAGAAAATCTGCATCTTGCAACCTCAAGTGTAATAATATATTCAGGCAAGGACCATCAACGGATGTTAAAATTAGTAAAAGGCTACTAGGGAACAGGATACTCATACAGTGATAATGAATCATCCCACACATTATCCACTGATTCCACTGGAGAGATATGGTGGTTACCACCTGAACTAGTGACCAAACAACATTATTAACAGTAGGACAAACTTACCATGTAGGGCTCCTGATGTGATGTGTCACCTATTATGTAGTCTTGCAAAAAATATTTATATGAATTTACAGAAATCGTTCAACCTAACTCCCAGTTTACCAGAAATAAAGAGAATAGAGAAATAAATTATACTATAAAGAATCAGACAAGTCCATAATCTGTAAGAAAACTGGGTGATTCTTTCCAAAAAATCAAGGCATGACAGATTCAGAATGTGAGACATTTTATAGCACAATTGGTTTAATTCTTTAAAAAATTTATGTCATGAAAAATAGTTTTTTAGATCACTTCTAAAATAACAGCCAAGTTGAGAAACAAATCAAAGACACAATTCTCTTCACAGTAGCTTCAAAGAAAATGAAATACCCAGGAATTTACTTAACAAAAGAAGTGAAAGACCTCTACATAGAGAATTATAAAACCCTAAGAAAACAAACAGCAGAAGACATTAACAAATGGAAAAACATACCATGCTCCTGGCTGTCTATTCAACCCAAAGCAATCTACAGATTCAATGCAATCCCCATTAAAATACCAACATCATACTTTGCAGAACTGGAAAAGAAAAAGTCCTTTGTTTTGTATGTAACCAGGAAAAAAATCCATATAGCCAAGGAAATTCTTAGTAATAAAAACAAAGCCAGAGGCATCACTCTACCAGACTTTAGGTTATATTACAAGTTCACAGTGATCGAAACAGCATGGTATTGACACAAAAATAGAGAAAACATAAACATATGAAACATAATAGAAAACCAAGAGATGGAAACCAGTCTCTTATTGCCATCTAATCTTTGATAAACAAAACAAAACCATACACTAGGGAAAAGAATCTCTATTCAATAAATGGTGCTGGCAGAAATGGATAACCACATATAAAAGACTGAAACTGGACCCGCACCCTTCACCACTTACAAAAATTGATTCAAGATGGATAAAAGATTTAAATCTAAGACATGAAATGATAAAAATCCTAGAAGAAAGTATGGGAAAAACTCTTCAGGATGTTGGCCCTGGGAAAGATTTTATGAAGAAGACTTCCGTGGCAATCGCAACAACAATAAAAATAAACAAATGGGACTTAATTAAACTGAAAAGCTTCTGCACAGCTAAGGAGACAACAACCAAAGCAAATAGACAACCTTCAGAATGGGAAAAGATATTTGCTTGTTACAAATTTGACAAAGGCTTGATAACTAGAATCTACAGAGAACTCAAATTAATTAACAAAAAAAAAAGATCTACCAATCTCATCTTTCACTGGACAAGAGACATGAACAGAACCTCCTCTGAGTAAGACAGACAAATGAAAAAAAAAAAAGACAGATAAATGGCTAACAAACATATGAAAAAACACTCATCATCCCTACTCATCACAAAAATGCAAATCAAAACCACCCTGAAATACCAGTTAATCCCAGTGTGAACAGCCCACATCACAAAGTCCCAAAGTTGCAGATACTGGTGCAGATGTGGAGAGAGGGGAACACTTTTACACTGTTAAATGGACTGCAAACTAATACACCCTCTTTGGAAAGAATATGGAAAATCCTCAAAGTACTCAAATTAGACCTCCCGTTTGATCCCACACACTAATAGGTATCTACCCAGAAGAAAAAAAAATCATTTTATCATTAGGACATCTGCACTAGATTGTTTATCACAGCTCAATTTATAATTGTCAAGATGGGGAAACTACCTTGGAATGCTCATCAATCCAGGAATGGATTAATAAACTGTGATACATACACACACACACCATGGAATACTAGTCAGCCATAAAAAGATGGTGACTTTACATCTTTTGTATTAATGGATGGTGTTGAAGTATCACAAGAATGGAAAAGCAAGTATCCAATGTACTCATTATTAATATGAAGCCAGTAGATGATCTAATACATGCCCACATAAGAGGAAAACTAAACTCAAGTTAGGGGGACGGGAATGAAGGAGGGGGAGGTGGGAGTGGGGATTTGTGTGCTCTCAGTGGGCACAATGTAAGGGTATATGGCACACCTTTTGGTGTGTGGGACACAACTCCAAGAGGGACTCTACCTAACAAATGCAAACATTAACCTAGTTGTTTGTATCCTCACATTAACTTGAAATTAAAAAATCAATAAATGAAAATAATTTTTTTAAATGCAGTAAGTAGTAGTATTCTATATTGGAAGAGACACAGGAGACACAATAATCAAATATAGTTTGTGAACCCAGATTAGGAAGAGGGAGAGTTATAAGAAAGATTTTTTTGAACAACTTAGAAAATTTAAATATGGACTTTATATTAGATATTATTAAATGCATGTGAATTTTCTTACATGTGCTAGTGGCAGAGAATGTCTTTATTCTTAGGAGATATGTACTAAAATATTTAGGGGTGTCATGATATCTACAATTTGCTTTGAAATGCTTTAGCAAAAACTGAGAAGGAGAAAGAGTAAATGAGGCAAATTTGTTGAATCTAAGGGAAAAGTTTATAGATGTTAAAAGTCTTTATATATATATATATATTTTATTTTATTTTATTTTATTTATTGAGACAGAGCCTCAAGTTGTCACCCTGGGTAGAGTGCTATGGCATCACAGCTCACAGCAACCTCCACCTCCTGGGCTTAAGCGATTCTCTTGCCTCAGCCTCCCAAGTAGCTGGGACTACAGGCGCCTGCCACAGTGCCCAGCTACTTTTTGGTTATAGTTGTCATGTTGTTTGGCAGGCCTGGGCTGGATTCGAACCTGCCAGCTCTGGTGTATGTGGCTGGCGCCTTAGCCTCTTGAGCTACAGGTTAAAAATCTTAATCATAAGACACAATAGTCAGGGAGGATGACAAAATACCCATTTTTCACGTTGGTATTTTCACACTTCTAGGAATCTCTGCTTTTACCTGGTTCACACACTGAGATTTCACATAAGATCTTACTGAAAAACATGTGCCACTGTAAAAAAAAAAAAGTTGAAATCTTTTGCTTAGCCACAGTCTGCCAACACACAGCAGGCCTCCAAAGGGCCCACTGCAGACACTGCTGTTCAACTGGGACATTCATTCCTGCACAACCCGAACTTGGCATCTGATCACAATGTGCCAGCCAGCCACTACCAATTACCTGTATTGGTATTTGGAATGAAACTTAATTGGTATGTCAGAACTAGAACATCAAAGAGCTATGTCCTTGTATCACATTACTCAGTGCCTCATAATTCCATGAGGCATCCATTCTGTTCAGCCACTTTATATTAAGGACCATATTTTTTAAAGCTCTGGCATAAAATTTGATATTGAATTTATTATGAGGGGGATGTTACGATGTTCTCCAATACTTGATCCACAAGACAAATCTCTTAGGAGTCAGTCTCAGGACTGACTGACTCATTCAAGCTATGAGTCTCTTTATTAAATTTAGGTTTTGATTTATGGACATTGTAAGTCTTGTAGCTGAATGTTTATTTCTTTGCTTTGTCCATTAGGAAGCTCAGAAACAAACTGATAACCTCATGTTATGTACTTTTGAGGACTAGCAATACTAGTATTGCCTTATTTTCCCTACCCTCCTTTTGTCTTTATCCATTTTTTCTTCATCTATTTCATCTGAAGGTATGGTATTTATCTTTTTAGGATGCTTTAAATTTTTCTTGAATTATTATCAAGTGCTTAACTACATGAATAAACAGTGGCGGAAAGGCAAATAGACAGTAGGAGAAAAATTACAAAGAAAGAAAATGCAGGTTTTAACTAGTGACTCATTATTACAGATCAAAGACCTTTGGCTTTACTCACAAAGTGGTGGAACCAACAAGAGAGATGAGAAATGAGGGAAAGAGAATTACTTACAGATGATGAGTTAGGTTTTAGAGAAGTTGGTCTAGTAGTTAGATATTGAAGAGGAGAATTTTAGGCCACTGGAGGATATTTTAGAACTTGAGTCAAAAATCCAAGTTGGTGGCTCGGCGCCTGTGGCTCGAGTGGCTCGGGCACCAGCCACATACACCTAGAGTGACAGGTTTGAATCCAGCCCGGACCCGCCAAACAACAATGACGGCTGCAACCAAAAAATAGCCGGGCGTTGTAGCGGGCGCCTGTGGTCCCAGCTACTTGGGAGGCGGAGGCAGGAGACTCGCTTGAGCCCAGGAGTTGGAGGTTGCTGTGAGCTGTGAAGCCACGGCACTCTACCCAGGGGGATAGCTTGAGGCTTTGTCTCAAAAAAAAAAAAAAAAAAATCCAAGTTGGTAATGTCGATTTGGAAGCTATCAAAATTGAATAGCTGAATCCCAGAAGGGTAAAACAGTCTGTAATGAGGTGCAGAGATGGACAACCAACATATAAGAGCTGGGGATAAAGCTAAAATTAGCAATTTAGAGAAGAAAACAGGTATCAGTGATAGCAAAAAGAAAATTAAAGGTGAGAAAAGAATTTAAGTAATATTGCCATAGATGGCAAAAAAAACGAGCATAATTTCAAAAAACAACATCAATAATATTTAAAAGAGGAAGAAAACAACAAAATAATTGAGACGAACAAGGAAGGGCTGTAAGATTTCTGAAGGAAGCACTGTCGACCTGTGAATAGAGAGGCAGACAAACATGGGCCTGACCTGAGGAGCCTCTGTATGGCTCTTCGTGGGGTGTGCTAGTTATCAAATCCTGCTTTGATGCCTTATCTTTGAATATTTATTAGCCTGCTTCACAAAGCAAACATGACTTTAGTATTCTAATATCATACTGCAACCTACTACTGTACTAATAGACACAAGAATCATAATGTTTCCTTCACTATGATCACATCAGTAGAATCTAGAATCTAAACTTTAATTACCAGAAAATCCCAGTGCTGGATTTTAAAAAATGTTGAAAGGAAGTGAATGAAAATGTATTTACATAGGACCATGACATCACTGACTTCCACTTTTTAGAAGCTCCATTTTAGCAGAAGGCTTACCTTCTCTATTTTGAAGTTTGAGCAGGTTTGATTGAACTTGCTTGCCACATTGACATATTCTGGATGGGTAGGTTGTAGCTCTACCACACACAAGTTCTTCTGCTTCATATCACTCCAGTGTGCAGGGATTTCAACTGCAAAGGAGATGATTTTAAGGACCTCCTCACACATTCCCAGTAAATGTGTTGAAAAAGTGAATATCATTTGTGTTGTTTTTAATCTCCTAATTCTAAGTGCTCAATTTCCTTATCTTGGCTGGGTGTGGTGACTCACACCTGTAATCCTAGCACTCAAGGTGAGTGGATCCCTTGAGCTAAGAGGGATCAACCCTGAAGATCAACCCTGAACCCCATAAATGCATCAATGTACAAAGTTATGATTTAATAAAAAACAATTTTAAAAAAAAAGAGTTCAAGATCAGCCTGAGCAAGAGTGAGAGCCCCATCTCTACTAAAAATAGAAAAACTAGCAGAGCATTATGGTGGGCACCTGTAGTCCCAGCAACTCAAGAGGCTGAGGCAAAAGGATTGCTCAAGCCCAGGAATTTTAGGTTGCTGTGAGCTATGATGCCAGGGCACTCTATGCAGAGTGACAAAGAGAGACAAAAGAACTTCCTTATCTTTTTAGCAGAATCTTTAAGTCTTTACAACAGACAACCTACATCAGAACCAACTGGAATTCTTATACATTAAAAAATAAAAGCCCTGAACTACTGGGTAAAGATCTCTCAGGATGGGGGAGGGGAGAGACTGTGTGTATCTTAAGTTATGACCATGCTAAGATTTGAGAACTGTTGGTGCAGCAGAACATGTCTGTATTTTCTGTTCAGTCTCTAATCTGTCATGGTTTAACAATAAATCATTTCCTGACAGTGTTTTCAATATTTGCCACTGTTCTGCTCATACTGGGTTTTTGCCAGGACTCCACCCCATCAACACAGCAAGGTACTCCACATCTACTTTTTCATTCTTCTTCACAGAGTCCTTGTGAGGTGGTTGGGTGGTAGGTTTTGCAGTGTGACAGACTGTCGCCTCTTGTGCTAAGCAGAATACTAGGCACTATTCCTCATTTCCCCAGGGCTCCTGGGCTAAGGAATTCGTTCACACTGATCTCACAAGAGAGGAATGTAGTATACCAAGGCCAATTAATTCTCAATAGGGACTTGTGGTTTGAAGGTAGGCATGGCTGTCTACACAAGACAGTCATTCCCTTCTTGGGGAGCAGATCCCTAGAGAATCCCAAGCCTGCTTCCTGCTCTGCGTGTCAAGGAACCTTCTGCTCAGGGCACAGGTCATGTCTGGGAGAAGTTCCAACAGACTCCCAACCCTCCCTGTCTTATCAGTTACAGACACAGAGACTGCTCACTGACCAGGCTATCTTCTCAGTTTTCTACCCTTTGCCCCTTTGTTCTAGAAAACCTTGGGCTTTCTTCTCTATTAAGCCTGTGGTTTTCCTTCTCTTGACTGATGCAGCCATTACCACACCCACCCCCACCAGCTGAACTAGTTCTGGGAAGCTACTAATAGTAGAAGCTAGTTTACTGGGAAGCTAGAAAACTATAAAAAGGGAAACATATGCAAGGTTTGGCTATTGTTACCATTAAGTTGGTTGTCCTCAGGTTGTTGGGGTGTGTCCATGATGTGTTTTCCCAGCTATAAGGCAAGCTCTTTAAGCTCAGAGACCATGTTTTCTGGTTGTTCCATTAGCATTAATTGGATTTTTTTTCTATTTAAAATGTGGGTGTTTGTACAAAATAATAGTTAACCACATAGTAGGTGTGAAATAACAGATGACAGGTAGGAAAGTTTAACTTACCTTCAGATTTTGTCAGGCGCTGAATTGAAAAAGTGTCTCCACTTGCATCTGTGGCAGTGTATGTGTCAAAGTTCACTGTGCAGCTCTTATTCTTAATTGTGACGACAATTGTTTGTCTCTTTGCTCTCTTTGCATCCTCCAATTGCAGGTTGGTCATTTTGTCAAAACGATGAAAAGTGTCATTGTCATTATATTGCCATTCTATAAATTCACTAATACAATCTGCCCGGGACTCCTGTTCTTTGTCCAGTCGAACTCTCTTGATCATTTTCTCAATCTCATCTCGAGCCTGTATCACATCTCTGTAAATCCCTACGACCTTAATCAAAGGTTTCTTGTGGTCCAGGGAAATGGTAATATCTAACTTCTTCTGCAGCTCATTCAGTTTCTGAAATTCCTTTTCATCGAAGTCTCTGATGCACTCATCTTCACTGATATAAGGCAACTGTTCCTTTTCAATCAGGTCCTGTATCCAGCGGAGAGTGCTTTCCACACAGTTTGTATTTTCACCACACACCTGAAAAACTGCTGATTCTGTTTTCACTTCCAAAACCAAAGGAGTCTTTTTTTTGGGAGATTGCCTTGAAAAACCCAAAAGGGCTAAAGAGAAAAGGAAGATTAGATATTTCCCATATGACATCGATATTAGGATTGAAAAGCTCAATAAGGCTAAAGAGAAAAAGAAGGTTTCATATTTCCTGTGTGACACAAATGTTAGGAAAATGAGGAACATAGATTTCATAAAAATGAATAACTCACATGAAAGTCTAGAGAACATAGACTGTTGAGGAGCAGCCTGAGACCCTTCTCTTTTTTTCATGCTGGCATAAAACGCATTTAGCATTTGAGGCTGAAAGATAACAACTTTAACTTTTTTCACAGACTGGGCTGCTCCTTTCTGGATAAAGTCTTCAATGGCATCCAGTATGGCTTCAGCAACCTTATCTGGGTCTTGTTTGGCACTTCCTGGAAAAGCAAATTAAAAAAATGACTGAAGAAAAACAAAAGACCCAACTAGAAAAGGCTGAGGAATAAATTAGGTGCTCATGGAATAAATGCCCATTCCCCAGTTCTTTCATCACAGTGACGTTCTCTAACAACACATCAGCAAACATTCTGAGTACTACATGCACTGGGGAGTTTCTGTTCCAGGATGTCAGAAAGCCAACATCCCAGCCATGAACAAAGGACCCAGCACCCTGGCATCGGGTGTCTGACGACCACGTGTGTTTTACCCAGCCGCTCCCAGCTTGCTGCCTTCTTCTGCTTCCTGTTACACACCCAGGTAACTTTCCTTCTTGGCTCACTAGGGTCTTCCAAAAATCCATACAAAGCAGAAGATGCTAACATACGTTGAAATAACATGCTCTTTAAAGAGAAAACATTTGGGGGCTCAGTCATCACTTGATTTTATGTGTGTATCCCTATTCTTCCAGATATCTTTGGGAAGCTGATTAAAACTAAGCTAATTTTGTAAGATCCCTGGAACCATATGTTACTTGTTATAATCTGTTAATTTATGCCACATGAGATCTCCATGAGCATCCAGGGGCCTCTCCTCCCATATGCTGTGAGGTTTTAGCTGACCAGCAGGGATGCAGGTAGCCACCCTGAGCAGATCCTTTCCTGTTTGCAGCATGCTCCATATCCTGTGCCTCAAGCTGTGGAAGCCACTGCCTAGGTGAGATCATAGAAAGTCCCTTTTAGCCACGGAAACACTCCCAAGAGAATGGCAGCTGGCAAAGTCACAGGATGGGCAATGTAAAAGTCCCCTGGCCAGCTGGTCAGATGGACCACTAATGTAGAAAAAAGCAGATCTCTGCCTTGGCTGGGCAGACAATTAAACCCCAATAAAATTAACCCAGAGGATTTGTTCAGTTTCTTTTATTAGATCAGGGAAAGACAGATGTTCTCCTGTGAAAAACTGTGGTTTTCCCATGATATTTGGAAGTGAATAATTTGGATGAAAATGACCATCCTTGTCATTTTCTGGGCATTTTTCTGACACTCTGACCCATATCTTGCTTTCTGTGATTCCATACCATTCCTCATAATGTTCCTAGATGGAATTCTCTATCTACTTTACTACTTTTCTATTTCTAAACACAATCATTCATAAGTATATATTTGTTCACTCTCAGTAAACATCTACCATATCCCATCACAGGCTAGACACTCAGCTAGGCATTTGTTAACACACAGAGAATATGATATGTATGGCTGAACAGGTGTTCTATAGGTGGAGTCTAGAAAGTTAAGGAAAGGCTACACCAGCTGGAACTGTATAATGGGTATGGATGTTCAACCTGGCATGTGCAGGGGAGCAGATTCATTTTTGAGAAAAATAAACCTGGAGGGGTGTGGAGGAGACACTGGAGCAGGGAACCCAGGTCTAGTTAGGAGGTTACAATAACAACAGTTTAGGCAAAAGACAAAAGCTGAAGAAAGAGAGAATGAAGAGGAGGGAAAAATCCAGAAGGAAGAGCAGGGATTGAGGAGCTATTCAGGAAGTCATGTCAATAAGACCTAGGGGCCACCTGGGCTTATCCGTGACCCTTCCCTCTCCCCCTTTTGCCACAGACGTACTATATCATGGGTCAGTTTCTGTTTACGTGCCTTTTACATTGGGTGCTCCTTGTGCACGGGACCCTTTTCTCTCTCATCTTTCTATCCCCAATGACTTAAGTGGTGCCTGGCACATGTGGGCGCTCAGTAAGCATTCAGCTGATTAACTGCTAGGCTAATGAAGACAGGAGTGATAAAGATGGTACGATCAAAGAAAAGGTGATGTTTTTCACAGGGCTGGGGATGGAAGAGGAAGAGCAGTTTGGGGAGAAGATGGTGAATAGGAGTTTGGAGTCTGCATTGAGCTTGAGGTGCTGGCAGGCATTGCTGACCTCTCCCCTTATGCAGGTCAGCATAAGAGAATGGGCACAGAGAATGCATCCTTTGACTGCCAGAAGCTGCCTTGAACACAGCCCCAAGTGAACTTATAACCACCACTAGGGGAGAAAGCTTCCCCATCTGTTAGTTTTGGGACCAGCGCAGGTCCCAATAAAGACTTAATTGCACAGACCAGCGATGCAACCATGTCAGCGCAACAAAGAAGAGGATTACAGTAACCCATAAATATTCCAATGTGTACATATTTATACAAACTGACACTGCCTCCTTTCCCTGTTTCTTCTAGGGATTTCCTTGGGAAGTCAGACCTATAGCCTGTCTGCTTTCTTGGCCCAGATCAACGGAAGGTGGAAACACAAGACAGAGCTCAAACAAAAAAGCAGATGGAGATAGACCAGGGAATCAGTTATGGGTGTCCATAAAACATAAGTAGATACATAGATTGCTGATAAGTAGATAAACAGATAAAATGTTGATTAATTTTCTAGGAATAGATGCTCCCATAGGGGAATGAAACATAAAGGAATCAAAAATTATACTTTTGGATATAGGAAAGAAGTGGGCATAGAATTCAATCTTGAAACATTCTGAGGAAGGGCACAGAATTACAGAAAGCAAGACATGGGTCAGAGGATCAGAATGCCAGAAAGTGACAAGAATGGTTAAGTTTAGTGAGGCTACATTTTTGGAGAGCCTAGAATGTCAGCCGAAGACATTCAAACTTAGATTCCTGAGCAACAGAATGACAGATCCAATGCTGAGTGTTTTCCCACCTGGAAGGGAAGTCCCACTGATTTCAGGCCTGAGAGTGCAGCCTCCTCTGACCAGCTCTAGTAAGGGAGACCAAGCAGGAATTCCTAATCAGTGCTCATGACTGATTCCTGGGGAAATAGCTCGAGAAGCACCACCTCTAATGCCTTCTCTAAGGCCATCCTTAGAGAAGACTCACTTGATCATTATAGGGTTTGAAGATAATGAGAACCTCAAAGAGGAAAAGGTCCAAAACAGGAAAGTAGAGATTTGAGTAGATGACCCACCATGTTCCGATGATGGAAAACTTTTACATAGAGACGCCCTTAGGCCCACTGACATGCCAGCTACTGAGCGGAAGGCTGGAAACGCTCATCTGGGAGTCAGCTGGGGTGATGTGGAAGTTGACGCACCAGAGTTCTCCATGCAGAGGGGACAGCAGAGAAAGTTAAATAATGTAGACGATGCAGGGAAGTGGGGGAAAAAGGAAGGAACCCATGAAAGAGAGCAAGGGATGGCCTTCCTTTTCATTTTCTTCCTTTCCTTTCTTTTTATTCTCTCTCTTTCTTTTCTTTCGGTCTCTCTAATATCCCAACACTGTCTTCTCTTTTCTTCATTTTTTCCTCTTTTATGTAAACCATCCCCAGGCTTTGCTCCTCCTCCTGGGGGCTGCCCTGGGGAGATGTCACTGTCAGCTCCTGGATTAACAGTCCCAGCCCTGGCTCAGACTCAGCACTGATGGCATCAATACTCAGCACCAAACCTAAACCAAAGGGACTGCCTTGGGATTTAGCCTTGACAGCCAGAAGCCACAAACCTGTCCCAATGGCGGGGAGGGAAATGGATGAATAATTCCGTTTTTCACATTCCTGCAAAACACAGGAAACCGATTTCTTGACATCATTTCCACCACCAACATGAATGATATTCTTGCACTTCAATGATCCGCCTCCAGTAATTATGTAATCATGTTTGCCCTGTTGAACTGGGAAACAAGCAAAAAGATACAATATTAGATGCTGAGCACCCTCTTTGTTTACAAAGAAAAATGTCTGATTTGGTGAATATGCAATTTCTGAATGAATACCTCCTGAAATACTATCTTTGATGAAAGTTTATGGTTTAACTTTTCTTTTTAATTGTGACGTTACTTTTCACTTCTAATTCTCAGTGATTGGCGTTCTTTAGTTAAATGTGTGGTTTTAAAATTAATGTGTTGTCTCCCCAATGCCAAGACTTTCCTTAGCTTCTCTATAGCCTCCCACCTAATTACAACATAGGACCAAAAAATAGCACTGTGCTTTACCTTGTTGAGAACATTCTAGTTCCACATTTTGTCCAGCAGTTTCTAAAATTGCTTTGGAGACACCTACACGAGAAAATCAAGATGACAACAAAGATGAATAAAAAATCACTATGGTACGTGTAGATCAGAAAGCTTTCCTCATTAGCTAAGTCCATTTTCCTTCATCAGAAGAACCTAACCTGGGCATTGCTGATAACAAAGAAGCACAATTCATAAAATAATTTAACAGTTATGAGAAACCCTGTTAAAATAATTTATAAGGATGGGTGTGGTAGCTCACACTTATAATCCCAGCATTTTGGGAGGCCAAGGTGGAAGGCCCACTTGAAGCTGGAGTTTGAGACTAGCCTGGGCAACATAGCAAAACCCTATCTCTACAGAAAAATTCTAAAAGTAGCCAGGCATGATGATGTGCCACCCCCTGGGGAGGCTGAGTTAGGAGGATGGCTTGGGCCCCTGAGTTTGAGGTTGCAGTGAGCTAAGATGATGCACTGCTCTCTCTCCTGGGTGACAGAATGAGATTCAGGGGTAGAGTGCAGTCTCTAAAAACTAAAAATTTGATATTAACAAGCCAAAGTTACTGGCTTGGTGCCTGTAGCTCAGTGAGTAGGGCGCCAGCCACATACACTGAAGCTGCTGGGCTTGAGCCCACCCAGGCCTGCTCAACAATGACAACTGCAATCAAAAAATAGCCAGGCGTTGTGGTGGGTGCCTGTAGTCTCAGCTACTTGGGAGGCTGAGGCAAGAGAATCACTTGAGCCCAAAAGTTTGAGGTTGCCGTGAGCTATGATGTCACAGCGCTCTACTCAGGGCGACATAGTGAGACTCTGTCTCAAAAAAAAAGAAAAAGCCAAAGTTGCAAACACCAGTTTGGCTACAGAAACACTCCTTTCATGGTATCTACTATGCTATTACACTCATCACAATCACACATCTAAAGTACCTGCTTTGAGATTAAATGTGTTTGATGTTGAATTTACGATCACATCTGAATCCTCTGTGGTGATATCCCCAGTAGCCACCTGGTAGACGATGGGGCCAATCATCATTTCATGCACTCCTGAAATAGGGCTAGAAACAGTCCCAAAAATACCTGAAAAGAAAACAAGTGGAGTCAATAACCAAGTCAGCAACAGCAAGAATGACTTGGGTCTCATGCTCCTCACATGTGCCCCTCTCATCTTCCTTCTCTCTGTGACCTCTGGCCTCAGGTGGCCCTGACCCTGAGCCCCCATCATGATCTGTTTCTGGAAAAGAATCGGAAAATATAATACATATCAAACATGAACTCTGGTCCTGGCCAAGGTGAAGTCAGCCCACTGAAGCCTCCTTCTCTCTTGTTGATTACAACAAAAACTCAGAACAAATACTAACAGCCACTACCAGAACTTTGAGAAACAATGGCAGCAAACTGACTGAGAAAAGTCAGGGTGAGGGTGGGGAGGAGAGTTTCCCATTCTGTTCTGTTTTAAAATTTTTCAATTTTTCTCTCCCAGGATTAACCCCAGTATCTCCATAGTTGCAGAATTGCACATGGGAACAGGTAGCAAAACTCTCAGAGAATCCCTACCTTTATGGCCAGAGCACCAGAAAAAGTATCCATGCTGAGCTTAAAAGTATGGAAGGGAATCTTCATCCCCCTGCCACCCCCTTTGAGACAGGGTCTTTATTGCCCAGGCAACGGCATCATCATAGCTCACAGCAACCTCATACTCCCGCCCTCAAGCCATCCTCCTAACTCAACCTCCCAAGTAGCTGGTACTGCAGGTGCACAACACCATGCTGGCTTAATTTTTTAAATATTTTGTAGAGACAGGGTCTTGCTGCATTGCCCAGGCTTGTCTCAAACTCTTAGCCTCAAGCAGTTCTTTTGCCTTGGCCTCCCAAAGTACTATGATTCCAGCTGTGAGCCACTGGCCTGACCATTTTTTCTTTTTTAATCCAGGCCCTTGCCCAAGATGACCTCAAGTGCAGAAATCCACACTGACAACCCAGGGAACTAAAACTCCAAGAGACATCCTGTCTTTCTGTTCAGAATGATCAGGGATAAGCACCCTGTGGTCTAAGAAGTAGGTGGGTAGCTGGATGTTACTTTTTTTCTCACTTTTTTTTTCCCTCCACTTTTCCCAAGGGCAACCCTAGTGACACAAAATTGTGAGTCAGGACAATAGCCCAGGTAAACTCTGTGGGAACCCTGTCTTTCTGGCCAGAGGACCTGGAAAATACAAGCCAGCCAGTGGGGGAGGAACCTAGAAAGGTGACAGCTAGAGACAGGGATCCCCCAGTGCTGTATGTGACCTAGAATAAGTCCTGAGCTCACTCCAGAGTTCACTCATGAGTAGGGCAGACCCAAAGCAGCACAGGAAAGGTTTTGAGAGCTGATCTGACCTTGAAGCCACTGCCCGAAAGGGTGAGACAGAACTTGCAGGACGAACTTAATGGACTGACAGCAAGCTCAACAATCAAATGAAACAATCACTTTTCTCCAGAGGATTTTAACAACACCCATGTCTCACAGCATATTATGTAAAATGCCTAGCCTATATTCCAAAATTGCTTGTCATACAAGAACCAGGAGAACGTGAGCAACTCACAAGGATAATCAGTATCTGCCAATCCAAAAGTGATCCAGATACTGGAATTATCAAAGACTTTAAAGGCGTCTACTGTAACTAGGAGCCACACGATCAAAGTAAACACATTTGAATGAATAGAAATGATGTGGAATAAATGGAAAAATAGGAGTGGAGAAATAGAAACTATGAACCAAATGGACATTTGAGAACTTAAAAATCCAGTATCTAAGGTAAAAATTCACTGGATGGGCTCAAGAGCATAGTAGATGGAGAAAAGACTCAGTGAACTTGAAAGGAGATCAATATAAATTATCCAATCTGGGCACAAAATAGACATTAAATTAATAAATATTGATGGGAGGAAATAATAAAAGAAAGATATCAGGAAAACACAATCAAATTCTCTAAGAAATACAACTGTCTGATTTCACTTCAGATTTCCTCCAAAGTGAAAAGGGCCAGAAGAAGCTGAATGACAACTTGGCAATTATACGCTAAAAGAAACTTTGTGCCCAGCTCTGAAATTCTGTGTTGTTAGTCTATATAATATAAACAAATCTGAGATATTCCTAGGTGAAACCAAGAACCTTAAGAATTAATACTTTATGAGAAAGAATTTTCTCCATTAGTAATGAATAGTATACACTTGATCTTAGCCAAAAGCCTTAGAAATGATAGCAATTAAGATTATATAAAACTAACACATATATCCATAAAGGCATTTATCATGGTTAAAAAAATAAATTAACCAATCTGAAGAACAGAGAGAAAAAAGATTAGGGGTGGGGGCTGAGGAAAACAGCTCCTCACAGACTCATGGGATACCATTGAAAGGCTTAGCATTCACATTATTGTAGTATCAGGAGGAGACAGGAAAGAGACCAGTGAAGACAAAATATTTAAAGAAATAACTTCAAAATTTCCAAATTTGATGGAAGATATACATTTTTATATTCAAGAAGCTTCAATGAATTCCAAACAGGATAAATGCTAGTATAACACCACATTTGATGTAGCAAGGCATGCATTAGTACAGTCTCTCTAAAGGTGTTTATTTTGAAAACACATGTCACATTATCCTTAGAAAATAGTCAGTTTGTCACCATGTAAAACCCACCAAACAGATTATATGAGCCAGCCACCCTTTCTTCTGCTCCAGATCACATAAACATGGGCAGGGTCTTACATGCTTGGGTGTATGGAACATAATTCAGTATCTTAATCACTCACTGGTATTTTTCAGTATCATCTTTAACTTATCACTGAGTAGATAATTAGGAAGTAGAAATAATTTCTGAATTTAAAAGCTTTACTGAACCTTGTGTATTGCCAGCCTTGGGAGTTTTATCACCGGTGAGATTTCCATTGCCTCTCTTGGCAAATTCATCTGTAAATGCCTGAAAATATAAACATAGTTTTTGTTTGTTTGTTTGTTTTTCTGAGAGAGTCTTACTTTGTAACCCTTGGTAGAGTGCTGTGGCATTGTAGCTCACAGCAACCTAAAACTTGTGGGCTTAAGTGATTTTCTTGCCTCCGCGCCCCCCAAGTAGCTGGAACTACAGGTGCCCACCACATCGCCTGGCTATTTTTTTTTTTTTTTTTTTTGAGAGATGAGGTCTCACTCTGGCTCAGGCTGGTCTTGAACCTATGAGCTCAAGCAATCCACCCACCTTGGCCTCAAATGCTGGGATTATAGGCGTGAGTCACCACACCTGGCCTAAACACAGTTTTGCCCATTATGCCCATGAACAAATTTGATTCGTTAGGGCTTTAGATTAGGCATGCATACATACATATTGGGAGAGAACAATTCTCAAACAGTATTAATTTTATTACAGATTTTTCAAGTTATGAAAAACATATATTTCTATATCTATAGAGGTATATTCTGATACTTACCAAAAATGTGAACAAAGATTTAAATATAAGGATATTCATTAGAGGGCCATTCATAATAAAGAGAAACATAACACTTAAAAAATTAAATTGGGAAATAAATAATTTTTGGTATATCCTTGTGTTGGAATGTTAGCAACCATTAAAAATTCTCTTTTCAAAGAATATTTAATATAAAACCAGCACATTGTACCCTGTGATTGCATTAATGTACACAGCTATGATTTAATAAAAATAATATTTAATGAAAGAGAAATAGTTATTTTATACTATCAAATGAATAAAGATATCAAGTTACATAGTATATAATCTGACTTTTAAAAGTACATATATAGGAAAGAAGACTGGAATAAATACAACTAAAGAATTTAAGTATTTATATTGTTTGAAGATTTGCAATGAACATGTATTACCTTCATAATCAGTAAAAGCAAATAACTTGCCTATTGTAAAAAGGAGTGTTAAGAGAATTTTGTTGGGGAAAAAAAAACCAAGTGACTGAAAACTGATAAAATGATGGGAGAAGGATCCAACAGATAGTAGATCAAGGGTCTCAGATTCACAGCCTCCAGGGCCAGGCAAGTTAAGGCTAATTTGTTAAGGGGACTGAGTTGACTCTGGAGAACTAGAGAGCACCTGCCACTCAGCTATAGCACACTGTCCCTAGCAGGAACCCATGTCCAATGTGCCTGAAGTTTTGAAATTTTAGTTCATAGTGGACATCTGGAGTTTTATGTAAAATTTTTTACTTTTAAATATTAGCAACTAGGCTCAGTGCCTGTAGCTCAGCAGCTAGGGCACTGGTCACATACACTGGGGCTGGTGGTTCGAACCCTGCCTGGGCCCACCAAACAACAATTTCAACTATAACAACAACAAAAAAAATAGCTGGGCATTGTGGTGGGCGCCTATAGTCCAGCTACTTGGGAGGCTGAGGCAACAGAATCACTTAAGCCCAAGAGTTTGAGGTTGCTGTGACCAGTGATGCCACGGTACTCTACAGAGGGTGACATGGCGAGACTCTGTCTCAAAATAAATAAATAAATTTTAAAAAATAAAAAATAAATGTTAGCAACTAATTAAAATTTTTAGAAAATAGCCCAAATATGGCTGGACACAGCTGCTCACACCTGTAATCCCAGCACTCTGGGAGGCGGAGGTGGGTAGACTGCTTGAGCTCACAAGTTTGAGACTGGCCTGAGCAAGAGTGGAAACCCCATCTCTAAAAAACTAGCCAGGCATTGTGGCTAGTGCCTGTAGTCCCAGCTACTCAAGAGGCTGAGGCATGAGGATCATTTGAGCCCAAGAGTTTTGAAGCTGCTGTGAGCTACGACACTACTGAAGGCAACAAAGTGAGACTCTGTCTCAAAAAAACAAAAATAGCCCAAACAAAGTGCTTTTAGTTTTTCATGTAAGATTAATGTGAGGGTACATATAGGTTACACTGTTTCCATTTGTTAGGTGGAGTCCCTCTTGTAGTTATGTCCTGCACCCAAGAGGTGTGCCATATACCTTTACGTTGTGCCCATTAAGCAGGAGCGCACCTATCCCCTTCCCTCCTTTCTTCTCCCACCTGCCTCATTCCCCCTCCCCCAATTGAGTTGAATTTTTCTCCTTTGTGGGCATGTGTTAGATCATCTATTGGCTTCATATTAGTATCGAGTACATTGGATACTTGCTTTTCCATACTTGTGATACTTTACTAAGAAGAATGTGTTTCAACACCATCTAGGTTAATACAAAAGATATTAAATGAAGCACTTACAGAGGTCATGTTCAAATCATGGGCTGCTATTTAAATTTGTTATAGTCTCCATTCATAAACATTTCAGTAACTTTTGCTGATTTTTTTTTGGAAAATGTAACAGAAATTGAATTGCCTTAAGAAGTCTCAAGAGAAAAAGCATAACAGCCATGTATAGAGAAGTTCAAATGGCAAAAAACGTATCTGTACAGACTAATACTTTCACAGAATACTTGCAAAGTAATGTGAATCTAAAGAAAATGAAGGCTGGGGTTGCATGAAAATAGCGAGAGTTGAAGATTCAGGTCTGTGTCACAGGACTCATGCCCTTATCCAATTGGCCATTTATTCAAACACATTCAGTTCATTTTGTCTGTGTAAATCCTAGCTCCAATGTAATTACGTTTTATAGGAAGGAAAGTATGTGCTACTTCCCACGTGTTACTGTTCCACAATCCATGTCACTTTGCACAATGCATGTCACAGGAGGTTACTGAGTAGAAGTAACTAATTATATACGATAGTAAATGGACCACGTATTTCATTCAGGTGGTTTGGCTGCATGATTAGAATTGAAAGTAGATTTGCTTGGTTTCAGAGAACTTATAGGTAGTGTCCGACTCCAGAAAATAATGAAGTAGGGCAGCGTCTATGGTTCAAATGAGTAGGGTGCCGGCCCCATATGCCAGAGGTGGCAGGTTAAAACCTGGCCCTGGCTCGGCGCCTGTGGCTCAAGCGGCTAAGGCGCCAGCCACATACACCTAAGGTGGCGAGTTCGAATCCAGCCCGGCCCGCCAAACAACAATGATGGCTGCAACCAAAAAATGGCCAGGCGTTGTGGCGGGTGCCTGTAAGTCCTAGCTACTTGGGAGGCCGAGGCAGAAGACTCGCTTGAGCCCAAGAGTTGGAGGTTGCTGTGAGCTATGATGCCATGGCACTCTACCCAGGGGGATAGCTTGAGCCTCCATCTAAAAAAAAAAAAAAAAAAAACCTGGCCCTGGCCAAAAACTGCAAAAAAAGAGAAAATCATAAAGTAGGGCCTAAAAATTCAGGTGATCCAATGATCCATGGACATCTCTTGGGTTGCTGACTTTTATCTGTTTGTTGAATTTTTGCAGTATCATGGAAATTTTCAAAGATTTAATGTCATCTACTCTACTGGATTAAATAAAGACCAGGAGTGCAGGGTTAATGGCTTAAATGCCTCTTGTGGTTCCATAACTGTGAGTCCAGTGGCTCGCCCACAGCTGATGAAGGCTGACTGATAGGCTCCCTATGACTGAAGATGCTTCTGGTGTTTCTGGTCTCACTCTCCTGCTCACATGGGGATGTGCTGACCGGTTCTGACTACACTCTTCACTTGTACTCCATCCTGACATTTCCCTATTGTTAGGGCTACAATTGTGTTTTATGATATGTATTAATATTTCTATGTTCATATACAAGGAAATCGTATAGTTTAATAGAGTTTAAAGGGACATGTCAACTCCCATGTAATATGTGTTATTTGGGTTCTGCATCAAACTCAAAGCTATAAAAACAAAATAAAACATGTAAGAAAGAGCTGGAAATCTGAGCACTGACTTGACAATAAAATAAAGGAATTACTGTCAATTTCCTTTAGGTGATTTAATGTTATGGTTATGTTACTTTTTAAGGAAGAACTGTTATTCTTTAAAAGAAATGCTGAGTGGTTTATGGTTAAAATAATATATCTTGGATTTGCTTCAAAATAGTATCAGAAGAAAAGAAATCAATGGAGATAGAGATGAAACATATTGGCCAAGTAGTCACAAGTTGATAATTGTTGAAATTTAGTGATGAGTACAAAGAACTTCATACTATTCTATCTACTTTTGCATATGTTTGAAATTTTCCTGAACATGAAATTAAATTTTTTCTATATCCATAAATTTTCTTTTCTTTTCTTTTCTTTTTTTTTTTAACCCATCAGACAGAGTGTCACTCTGTGGCTCAGGCTAGCGTGCCAAGGCATCAGCATAGCTCAGAGCAACCTCAGATTCCTGGATTCAAGCAAACCTCCTGCCTTAGCCACCCAAGTACCTGGGACTATAGGTGTCAGCTACAATGCCTGGCTAATTTTTCTATTTTTAGTAGAGATGGGGTCTCGCTTTTGCTCAGGCTGGTCTTGAACTCCTGAGCTCAAGCAGTCCTCCAGCCTTGCCGTCTCAGAGTGCTAGGATTACTGGAGTAAGCCACTATGCTCAGCCCATAGCTATGCTTAATTTGTCATGCTACAACTCGTCTACTCTACTTTCTTACTTTCCTGTACGGGAAATATTTTGAAGAACATCCTATTAGACCCAGAAGACATTTGAGAACATTAGGTCTGTTTCCAAAACAATAAATGATATCATACCTGAATATTTTCATCATCACTCCAGCGCAGTAGAAAGTGAACCTCTTGTAAAGTTGTTGGTTGATTCTTGCTACTAAATTTGAACACCTCTGAAATGATTAATTCAGCAAATACGGTTTTGGGAAATCCCAAGTTTCCTGTTCCTATAGCTGGAAATGTAATGGATTTTAAGGACAAGCTCTCAGTGATCTCCAGACATTCTCTGATTATATCTTCCATGACCTGAAAGGAACAAAGCACATCCTTATGCACTTTGGCAAGAAATGGGGGTCAGAACAAAGGAGTAGGCTGAGATGTCTGCCTGCTCCTTTTTGCTTTCAACAGGGATTAAGGGCAATCAGAAAAGGTAACAAAAATACAGGAGAAGAAGGGGGAAACAAAAAGGGATGTGAAAGCCCCTCTACAAACGACTTAAACTTTCTCAGTGATGAAGGAAAGAAGCAAAGCCACTGCTGTGCCCTCCATTCTTCACGCTCACAAAGGGGGGACATCCTCAGTAACCCTTCCCTGAGCCCCTTAATTACTGAGCAAAATAACTAACTCAAATTATTATTATTATTATTATTTGAGACAGAGTCTTACTCTGTTGCCCTCGGTAGATGCTGTGGCATCACAGCTCACAGCAACCTCCAGCTCCTGGGCTTAGGCAATTCTCCTGCCCCAACCTCCCAAGCAGCTGGGACCACAGGCACCCACCACAACACTCAGCTATTTTTTTGTTGCATTTTGGCTGGGGCCAGGCTTGAACACGCCACCCTTGGTATATGGGGCTGGCGCCTTACTCACTGAGCCACAGGTGCTGCCCCAACTAACTCATATTATTAACTACTCCTCAGGAAATGGCCACAATCATGGAACCTGCCAAACATACGGCATCATTATGTAAAAGAAAGAAGAACAGGTCCCATCTATACTATACTGCAAGGAGAGTTCAAAGACCAGCCAAATTCCCCAGAGAATTTAAAACCCAGCCCAACCTTTTGTGAAGATGTATTGTTGCTTCTCCACTCTGGAGCCACGACGTGAAGCACGTGGCGGCAGTGCAGATTGCAGCCACTGGTTTGGAGAACTGTGCCCACTCTGACAGCTCTCCCTTGTGCAGCTGCGTCCAATTCCTTCTGAAGCTCTGGTCCAGCCTTGACCAAGAGGGCATTAGAAAGAGGCCCTCTATCAAGTGCAAGATCCGAGGAAACAGAGTTGACAATAACGTCGGTCTTAAAGAGAAAAGCAAAAATTTTCAAATTCTAACAAAAAGCATTAGTCAGAGATCACTGTGTTATGGAGCACAAGGGGAGGCAAGTAAGATGATTAAGGTTTCAGAGATGAAAATACCATCCCAAGACAAAGTATTATCAAATAGCTATTTAAGTGGCATCTCAGGACAAAAGAGAACTGTTGAAAAGCAATATATGAGCAGTACGGGTCACTGATGGGTCCAGAAGAAGCCCCCTTAGGTAGCTAGTGAAGATGCCATAGGCTCTGAGAAGCAGGACTGGTTGAGGCAGGCAGAGAGAGAACGGGAACAGCATGAACATAAGCACAGGGTGCTGTGAGCAGAGGAATCTGATCTGATAGAGAGCTTCTGCAGCGAATTGGTGGAAGCCAGACTGGGAATGTAACAGTACGAGTGGGCTGCAGAAGGCCCACCTCCCAGCTCTAGGACCAAGCCAGCTGGACTCCCCAAAGACCATGAGCAGACATGGAAGCTGTTTCAGTAGCCAGTGAACATGAGCAGATTAATCAGACAAGATTAGAGATTAAAGAAGAGAGAGAGGGCGTGTGACCAAATGATTTCCAGAGTGGCCCTGTCTGGGTTACTGAGGACCAGTGCATAGCACTTACTGTGGCCATGGAAGCTACTCATCTATGGGAACAAAGGGAGTAGAAAGAGCATCTTAAAATTCAGTGTCAGTACTGGCTCCCAGGAAAAAGAGAGTTCTGCTCATTTATTTTGTTATTAAAATGACATGCAAATTTATTTTTAATATTTTTGAAATAGTGCAACAGTTAAGAGGCTGAACAAATCCCAATCCTGGCTCTACCATTTGTTAGCTGTGGGACTTAAGCAAATGGTTTAGTCCCTTTAAATCTCATTCTCTCCTCTATGAAGTGAGAATGATAATCATCCTAGCATCTGCCTCATGGCATTGAATGAGAAAATGCACATCAAACACTTAGCACGGTGCGTAGCAGGGGACAACCACCAGCTGTGGTTCTTATAATGGTCACTGAAGCTTACTGTAAGAAGAAATCCTATTTTTTAATCTTCTAGCTCAGTATCTTAAAACAAAAATTATTTTAAACCAAGTAACAACTTAAACAGGGAAGGAAGATGGTTCACCCAATAGAAGGAAATATTTTAAAATCATGTGTCTGATAAGGGATATCCAAACTATATAAAACACATAAAACTCAATAACAACAACAGCAATAACCCAATTTAAAAATGGGAAAGGATCTAAATGGACATTTCTCCAAAGAAGATTAGCCAAAAAGCACAAGAAAAGACGTTCAACATCATTAGTAATGATGGCAATGCATTATTAAAACCACACTGAGATAGATACCATGTCACACTCAACTTGGATGGCTATAATCAATAAGAAACATAGCAAGAGTTGACAAGGATGTGGAAGAATTGGAACTGCCGACATTGCTGACAGGAACATAAAAAGCCGCAGCCACTTTGGGAAAAAGTCTACGAGTTCCTCAAATGGTCAAACATAGAGTTGCAGTCACAACGTGACCCAGCCATTCTACCCAAGTGGACTGAAAATCTATGTTCCTACAAATATTTGTACATGAGTGCTCATAGCAGCATTACTCGTTAAAATCAGAGTGAAAATAATACATTGTTCAACTGATGAATGGGTAAATACAATAAGGTATATCCGTACAATGGATTATTACTTAGCCATGAAGAGGAACGAGGTTTTGATACATGCTACAACATGGATGAACCTTGAAAACACTCTGGGAAGTGAGAGAAGCCAGGCATAGCTGGCCACTAATTATATGATTCCATTTCTATGAAAATTTCAGAATAAGTGAATCTATAGGAACAGAAAGTAGATGGATGGCTACCTAGGGCTGGGGATGTGGAGTAGGTGGATAGAATGAGAGTGCCTGTTATGGGCATAAGGTTTGTTTCTGGAGTGACAAGAAAAAATGTTCTAAAATTAGATTGTGGCAATGCTTGTATACCTCTACAAATATACTAAAAGCCAGTGAATTATATCGTTCAAGTGGATAGGGTATGTGAAGTATGTCTCAATAAAGCTGTTGAAACAAAAAGGAGGATGACTAATCGTGACTGTTAAACAATTTTCAGCTTCTCTCAAGATCGCTGTGCTGTGGGAATGTGCTAAGGCAGTGATATAGTCAACAGTTTCGACTATGTTACCTTTTATCATATTACGTGGGACACAGGATGGATATTTAAAGATACTTTTCCTTGTAAATCAAGAAGCCTCAGCTCCATGAAACAAAAGCAAAACATTTGACAGGTTTATTAAATCTAATTCATTTTACTTAGTATCATATAATGCATTTCCAACCGTGTTGTATTTAAAGATAATGAGAACTAGTGACGTGTGTGCTGATAATTTAGGACTCTGGTCTTGGTCTCTGAATAAAACATTCAGACTTGATTGAACTTCCATAGTTTGTGATGTTTGTTTTCTTTTTGGTATGTTCTGCTAATCTATCTTCCTTCAAAAAGTGGGGCAAAAAAGAGCCTAGCAGTGTCCAGGGACACCACTCTCTGTCACAGCTTCCCCGTCAGTCCAGAGAGTATGTCCTCTCCAGCCCTCAGAGAAAGGCCATGGTTAATATGCACTAGAGGACACAACTATGGCCATGCCATACTTTTTGTTATTACAATGAAGAATAATGCTTCTATTGGTTGGTAAATATGCACTGCCCTGCCTCAGCCCCCAGGGGTGTTAACACTTCTTTTCTGGAAAAAATCCTTTCCAGATCTCCCCCAAATCCTCCAACTAAATTAGTAATGCCTGCCATAGTGGGTGGCTTCCAATCCTATACAGAGCCTGTGGTTCTCATTAGTTACAGCCTGTGTTGAGAAGGCTTTTTAAATACCTTTTGAAAAACATATTAATCCCCCACCCTACTCTACAACACATACAGCCCTGCGACTTCTAAGAATTGGCCCCACGTAATACCTGGCACCTGGAACATTCTCAGGTCCACCTTCCACTTTCCTCCCCACATTTCCTCATTAGAGTTGGGCACTGATGGACCCTTGGATTCTAGTCCCCAAGCTCACGCTCACTCAGTACCAGGGACAAGCTTCTTCTCCTCTGCACACCCTGTGCTCTAATTGTTCTGTATCTGCAATCACTAAATTGGACAGGAAGTGAACCTTAGATTTCCCAAAATATGACAGAGGTAAAAGCACTAAAAAACCTTAAAAGTGCCGTATAAACATGTGGTAGTATGGATTTTCACATTTAGTAGAAGCCTAGTGATCTGACCTCAATACCCTTTCCGTTCTCACAAATCATTGGCCATGCTCTACTAGTGAGTGATTTGGTAAATAGCCCAATTGTCTAAGGAAACCCACTGGGTTTGAGAAACTGAACTTGGGATCGTCTCCCTTGGATC